GTGTCAATGACAGGTATTAACTTAAAATACTTTGTAGAACGGCACTTTGTAAAGTTCGGTCAATTTACCTGTATTAGCTTACTGGCACATATTCCACATTCAATATGGCGGACGCTGTTACGTATCGCAGCAACGGGCCGACCCGCCCCATGAGGCATCTACGAATTTATGTCTGTGTATGAACTCGTCTATGTATGAACTCACCTGATTGAAGCTGTTCAAGCTGGTTCCTTTTCCGTTTGTAAGGATGGCCGCTTCCCGGCAGAACATGTCATAGCAACACCGCCGCCATTCTGTCAGCGCTGCCGTCCGTTGCAGGAACAATTACCGTAAAAATCCGAGGCTGTGTAATCTCTCGTCCGTTCATAATCGCACCATTGTTATCTTATGCTGAGTGTGGACCGGTAAAAACTAAACAAAAGTAAAAATAGGACTACTCCTGTGTGCCAACCTCTCCGATGTGGCAAGCCGGAAGTCCTGAGAAGCGTGTGACGTCAAAGAGTTACTCCTCAGTCATAGAAGTCAAGGAAATGTAATAATACTGAAATAATCATTTGTGCGCCATAATGAAATTAAAATCTTACATTTGTGTCTAGTGCAGATGATGGTTTTGCTTTGTGGAGACTATCACGTGACCTGTGAGTCTATTCTTTTTATATATATATATTTGTAATAGCATAATTGTGAGCATTTTAATAGAGAAATAGGGCAGATGTATCTGTCCGTGATACCTGACTGGCACCCCTTTAAACGTTTAAATAAACCGTCACAACCTCACCCACCTGAATTGGTCAAGATCTTTTTGACTTTATGTTAATGTTTGTGTTTTTTTTTTTGTTTTTTTTTTTAAAGCCTATTGCTTTAGGAATCCCCAATTCATGTACTTCTATCATCTGTTGATTAATGAGGGTTCTTGGAAATCATGCTTCACCATTTTATCCACAATAATTTTTTCTGAACGCAGGCTTCAAAAGAATTTATTCCAAATCTTCAACAGAATGGCTCACTAAGAAAAGAGTCAAGATTATGTAATGGGTCAACAAAACTCTAGACTTTTGAGTTAATGAATGTGTGCACATTTTCATTAACAAAAGGAAGGACAGTTATTAAGTGATCAAAATAAATTTGCTTCTATAAAAAAAAATACAAATGAATTGAATTTTTAAAGGACTATGCACTCTCTGACCCCATTGTCATTGCGTCTATTTTGTTATTGCAAAGGAAATTTCTGTAAAAATTCTTCTTGCACTTGTCAACATGAATTTTATTCATGACGGAAAACAAGCATTTTCTCCAAAGCTTCTCCACACAAAGCTATTCACCATGAGTCACACTCTTCGCTCTCCTTCTGTCTGCCAGAGTTGTTGTGTTCTCGTTGCCAAACTCTTACTGTCTGTCCCCGCAGCTGCAAAAAAAAAAGAAATTACAAACTGAATGAGAAGACAAAACACTTTATACTAGCAAGACGCAGCAGCCCGTCCACCCACCTCCGTCTTTGGGATTTGGAGGTTCTGACAAGCAGCTGGCTGACTCTAAAAACGTGCAAAAAATAAAAATAAAAAATCACTTTAAGAGTCAAACATGCCAGTCCTGTTGGGCAGGTTGGTTGTCAGGGGGGTGGAACAGGGTGGGCTTATGGGGTTGGACATGTATCAGTTAAATGAGACATAACTGATACTCTTACTTCCTGTCAGCGTATATTTGGGTAAGGACTGTTTTACAGTGAATTTTAGATCTGATTGATTTGGCTTGCTGAATTGTGGGCAAGTAGCTGCCCCATATGAGTTCTCTGACCTTCCCTCAACCAGTCTATCCCTTATAATGTCTGACCTCGTCTTGACTCTGTTAACTGTCATACAGTCATATTAGCATAATTAAAACACTTAAAATAAAATTAGAAATTTTATACAGATCTATGTACACCAATCACATGTACATAAAACACAGTATATTGTTTCTTTATGCCTTTATTTCTTTCACTGTTTACTTCCGAGCCTTCCTGTGCTGTCTCTGAAACTAAGGAACACAGACTTTGAATGAGGGGAGCACAGAGCTTGATTGCAAATTTTTACTGTATTTGTGTCGTGCCACTATGATTGACACTTTTATCAGCAATATCATCAAGCTGTGCTTTAATTTGCTTCAAGTTGAGATGTTAGCTGGCCTCAAGTTTTTGATAACAACAACTTAGACTTAATTGATACATGCTGTACTCTTCAAATACATTAAAAAATGGCAGCATAATTACAGAAATAGCTCAGGGTCATCTGTGCCACTCTAACTATAAACATAATCAAAAACAAATGTTTTCCTCTTAACCTTAAAAGTAGACAGGATGTACCATTGGAAATCATATTTTTTTTTAATAATTTGACAAAGCCACTGCTGTAAATATTTCAAAAATAGTTAAAACCACAAGTGAAACCTTTGTTTTTCACACCATCTGAGACTTTTGTCTCCAAGTTTCAATTATGTACGTCACTGCTCTTGATTTTCTTTTTTTTATTTTTTTTGTGCATGCATTTCAAGTCTCTGTTCTTTAACATAAATGTCCATGACCTTGGTTGGTCTGAAACAAAAGAAAACCTTCAGGAGAATGTGTCAAAAACAAATCCAGTAGCTTAATCTTGTTCCCAAGCAACCTGCTACAGTCGAGTTTGCTGTTCTTCTCTTTAATCACACATTTGGTGAAAGTGATGGCTGCAGATAATGGACTTGTGCCTGCACTTGTCATGCTAAACCTCAGTTCTACCGTAGACTCAGCTGATTGTAGTATTCTCTAGCAAAGGCTGTCAGAGAGATTCCAGTTTAGATTAATCTTCTTCATGCACCAGAATCACTTATGAAGTACCATGGTGTTCAATGTTTGGGTAAGTTTGTTACCCAAAGTACTTCTACTTAAAATAATCGGAAATTATGTAATAAAGTTCCAGTGTTATGCTGATGACACTATATTTGTTGTAATGAATTCAATCAGTTATGACACCATGCATGTCATGTATATCATATCTTGACATAAAAACTTAGATTGTTTAAATTTCTGCTTCCTAGTGTTGAAGAAGGTTTTAGGTTATAATATATTTTTGGAAAATCTCTGACTCAATCTTCATCTGATGGATCCCAGGTTCTCCCGGCGGGCCGAAGTGAAGAACTTCTCCTGATTGTTTCCCACACAGACAAAGGGCAGTTCAAAAGATCTTAGCGAACAATCTGCTGTAACTACAGGTAAAATAAAGGTCAATAGGGCAGAATAAGTTATTAATCTGAAAACTATAATTAGGCTATTTCAATCAAGACATGTTAAGTTTTAAAACTAGCATATTTCAAATTTATTTTCTTAACATTAGGCAACACGGAGATTCTTTGGATGAATTTATTTAAATACAAGTTTAGCATTGTAAGTAATCTTTACATTGAACACATTTCCAGGACTCTTTCTTTTACATCCACAATGTTGGTCAAAATTGACTTCATGCATTGTTGCTTCTGGGCCGGACTTCTTTTATTATGCACAATTGCAAAGTCCAAAGATATCTTTGATAGGTCTCAAAGTTCTGCAGTGAGAGCTATGTTGAAGGGAGACATCTTGTTTTTTAAAATTTGAGCTTATCATCATTGAATTCCCACTAAATGCAGATCATGCTGCTACCAACACCATGTTTCAATTCATTTCGTATTCATGGTGTTGTGCTTAAGGTAGTGTGAATGTTTGTCTCCTGTATCTTAGTGTGCTGGTGTCTGCATCCTCACAGCTGGAGCTCATCACAAATGATCAGGAGCAGATTAGAGGACTGGGTTTTCTGAAAGAGATTCCACATTGTGACTGGTAATGAGGCCTCCCTGGTTTAAGTTCCTAGAAATCTGAAAGTTACCTATGTTATATTTCCTCTTCAGAAAACTACTATATCCATCAATGCTCTATAAAAGGATCCAATTCTCTCCTTTCTCAGTGTTTGTTGGGAATTCCCTTTCCAAAATTTCCCTGTAAATCTCCTCACCAACCCTCTGGCTGCTCTCTTGCTTTCAAGTCCTGATAGTTTCACATCAACTTAATGCTCACTCACTTCACTCTCCACTCTCCAACTCTCCATCACGAGGTTCCACCTGCAGAAAAAGGACAAAGGAGACTATCACCAAACCGCCAATTAACCACCACCTGCTGATTACAGCCTCCTGGGATAAACTCGGCTTCGCCTGGATCACAATTGTATTTTCCAGCAATATGAATCTGCCTCTTCTTATCTTTTTTAGAACATCTCAATCATTTTGAACCCTGGATAATAATCAATTACCTCGATCCCCTAATGCCGTCCTGGACCTTGTGAGTAACACGGAAGAATATAATAAACTTTTCAAATTTTGCAGCTTGTTGTTGCAGTGCCTCGCATACTTTTTGTGATTGTGCCTTTTAGGGAGTTTTTGCTGTCAAACAACAGCAAAAATATAAAAAGTGAACAGATTTCTTTAAGAAAAAATAGCTTTCAATTGCTATGACATATCAAATAAAAGAACTTGTGTTCGGATAAAAGATTCCCTTTTAGTTTTTTTATGTGAGAACATACAAAGAATGCGGCAGTATTTATTTATTTTTTAATAAGCAGCAGATTACCACCATCTTTTATTGATACAAGCAGGAAACATACATTTTTCTCTGCCATTGGTTGATAAGAGCCAAGGAAACACTGCTGAGACGCTTCAGCAGGAAGCCTTTTGGAAAAATCATTGCCTCTGTTTTCAGGACTCCGCTACAAAGTTCCATTCATTGAGTGTTTTTTTTTTTTTTTTTCCTGGTTTCCTCAGCAGATGGTTATGTTTTTAACACTCCATATGGTGCGCTTTAGCTTTATTATAGCTGTGAGTGTGTGGATTGTGTTATATTGTTTGTTTGATTTTGTGTTTTGGTTCTTCATGTTTATTAGAGTCTGATTGGAAGCAGCCACTTGATGCACCTGCTGGTGATAACACAACAGACACTTGATGGGGGGCGGGGGGGTTGAAGTTTAAACGGAAAATAGGAATCCTGTGCTGAACCAAATCATCAGACTAGACAAATAATAATTAAACAAAGAGCATATGTGGCCATTGCAACACCTCTGCCACAATGAACCTAGCAGGACCCTTATGGGCATCTACAAATAATAAAATTTTATCTTAGTTGCAGTTGAATAAACTTAATCTAGAGTGGCTGGGTGTAGATTCTACTTTGATAGCAGTTTTAGTTAAAGCAGTGGCCTCCAACTCTTGTGTTCCTGTTCCTGTATGCTCCAGCAAAACCTGCCTGTTTTTTTTTTTTTTGTCAGCGAGTTTGACTTGCGACAATAAGCGGCCTTTGATGTCAAGCAAACATGCATAATTGTGCAAATTGTGTTTTATTATTTAATAAAACACCTTATTAGAAGACATGCTTGAAAGCAAATCTGACTTTAAAGTCTAAAAACTTGTGCGTTTTCCTGCCAGGTTTGTCATCGGTCTCACCGTCATGATGTTTAT